GGGTGAGTCTTGAAGGTCATGTGCCTAGTGGTGTGTTGATTTTTGAGTCGACTCAAACAACAACTCAGCCCCGCGCAAGCACTGTATGTGCCGGTGTCCGAGTCTTGAAGGTGATGTGCTGTGCCTAGTGGTGGTAGGTATATTTTAAGAGAGGGAAAACATGTGGGAGAGTTACGAGATGTATCATAGTTACACTCGTAATCGTTTTCCTGCGTCAACAGTGTTCATATGTTCCTCACCAAGGTCTACTTACATGTGCGCCCAACATACTGTATAAGCTATATCATACTGTACCCTTCCTCCTCTGTGCCGCCTTTAGAGATCTTGGCTACAACAGCTTGACGGGCGCGATTCCCGAATCCATTAGCAGGCTCACAAACCTCCGTTACCTGTGAGTGAGTGGTGTTACTAATAAGGCATATGATCGCGGATATCTATCTTAGGCAGTGCGGATATTTATCTTAGGCAGTGCGGGCTATCTATCTTAGGCAGTGCGGATATTTATCTTAGCCCCTGCGGATATCTATCTTAGGCAGTGCGGATATCTATCTTAGGCAGTGCGGATATTTATCTTAGGCAGTGCGGATATCTATCTTAGGCAGTGCGGATATCTATCTAGGCAGTGCGGGTATCTATCTTAGGCAGTGCGGATATCTATCTTAGGCAGTGCGGATATTTATCTTAGGCAGTGCGGATATCTATCTTAGGCAGTGCGGATATCTATCTTAGGCAGTGCGGGTATCTATCTTAGGCAGCGCAAACATCTTACGCAGTTGCGCAAGCGCGACTTTCTTAGCAGTCTTAGCATTCTGGGCGGCTTATGATGACCCCCCCTTGGCACATCACTACCCCTTGGTGCATCACCCCGCCTTGGCTCTATTGTTTTTACAAAGTGCAGAAATCTTGGGCAAAACATGTTGGCTGGCTCATTACCATCAACATTGGCCAACCTTCAATATTTGACCCAATTGTGAGTGAGCCACCTACTGGAAGGGCCAAATGATTCGTCTATTGGTTCTTAGGCTGACACTAGTTAGTCATTATAATTTAATGTAAAATCACTGCCGCACCTGATCTTTAAGTATTACGATGACTGTTTACTCCTCGAGCTTGTTGGTAAATGAACTTGCCCTATTTGACATCAGCCTTTGCGTTCCCCAAGCGTGTGCATTTGCAGAGAGCAAGTAAAGTCTTACATGTACACGTTCACATGCAGTATGTGTGATGAGGCGATTTATTAGTCGACTTAAAAATCGCCTCATCATACATGTTCACCTGCGCTAGATTGCGTGTGTAAATAGGAGGGTGAACAGGTCTGTGCTTGGTCTTTTTGTTTTCTTCCTTTGTAAGGAGATTGACTGTGCATTTCACCATGTGGTCAACCAGTAGTGAATAGCATGTTGAGATGGAGTTATGGTCTTTCAAACAGAAGGAACACGGGCACTTTTCGGGAGAGTGAGCAGTTAAGTAGTGCTAAGGTGTGGCGGAAAGAAAGCAGAGAGGGGGACCTGGCAGTGGCAGCAGTAGCAGTGAAGACCCCTAGTCATATTCGACTCGCAATATATCCAATCATCCACTATTCTTGTCATATGCGCTCCACTCATTGTTCTCTCAACAGGGGCCTTGACCGAAGCAACTTTGTGGGCGGCCTTCCTGCTTCACTCGGGAGTCTCAAGGACCTTCGTGCCTTGTGAGAGCCTCTCTTCTCAAGGACCTTCGTGTCTTGTGAGAGCCTCTCTTCTCAAGGACCTTCGAGTCTTGTGAGAGCCTCTCTTCTCAAGGACCTTCGTGTCTTGTGAGAGCCTCTCTTCTCAAGGACCTTCGTGTCTTGTGAGAGCCTCTCTTCTCAAGGACCTTCGAGTCTTGTGAGAGCCTCTCTTTTCAAGGACCTTCGTGTCTTGTGAGAGCCTCTCTTCTCAAGGACCTTCGTGTCTTGTGAGAGCCTCTCTTCTCAAGGACCTTCGTGTCTTGTGAGAGCCTCTCTTCTCAAGGACCTTCGTGTCTTGTGAGAGCCTCTCTTCTCAAGGACCTTCGTGTCTTGTGAGAGCCTCTCTTCTCAAGGACCTTCGTGTCTTGTGAGAGCCTCTCTTCTCAAGGACCTTCGTGTCTTGTGAGAGCCTCTCTTCTCAAGGACCTTCGTGTCTTGTGAGAGCCTCTCTTCTCAAGGACCTTCGTGTCTTGTGAGAGCCTCTCTTCTCAAGGACCTTCGTGTCTTGTGAGAGCCTCACTTCTCAAGGACCTTCGTGTCTTGTGAGAGCCTCTCTTCTCAAGGACCTTCGTGTCTTGTGAGAGCCTCTCTTCTCAAGGACCTTCGTGTCTTGTGAGAGCCTCTCTTCTCAAGGACCTTCGTGTCTTGTGAGAGCCTCTCTTCTCAAGGACCTTCGTGTCTTGTGAGAGCCTCTCTTCTCAAGGACCTTCGTGTCTTGTGAGAGCCTCTCTTCTCAAGGACCTTCGTGTCTTGTGAGAGCCTCTCTTCTCAAGGACCTTCGTGTCTTGTGAGAGCCTCTCTTCTCAAGGACCTTCGTGTCTTGTGAGAGCCTCTCTTCTCAAGGACCTTCGTGTCTTGTGAGAGCCTCTCTTCTCAAGGACCTTCGTGTCTTGTGAGAGCCTCTCTTCTCAAGGACCTTCGTGTCTTGTGAGAGCCTCTCTTCTCAAGGACCTTCGTGTCTTGTGAGAGCCTCTCTTCTCAAGGACCTTCGTGTCTTGTGAGAGCCTCTCTTCTCAAGGACCTTCGAGTCTTGTGAGAGCCTCTCTTCTCAAGGACCTTCGTGTCTTGTGAGAGCCTCTCTTCTCAAGGACCTTCGAGTCTTGTGAGAGCCTCTCTTCTCAAGGACCTTCGTGTCCTGTGAGAGCCTCTCTTCTCAAGGACCTTCGTGTCTTGTGAGAGCCTCTCTTCTCATGGACCTTCGTGTCTTGTGAGAGCCTCTCTTCTCAAGGACCTTCGTGTCTTGTGAGAGCCTCTCTTCTCAAGGACCTTCGTGTCTTGTGAGAGCCTCTCTTCTCAAGGACCTTCGTGTCTTGTGAGAGCCTCTCTTCTCAAGGACCTTCGTGTCTTGTGAGAGCCTCTCTTCTCAAGGACCTTCGTGTCTTGTGAGAGCCTCTCTTCTCAAGGACCGTCGTGTCTTGTGAGAGCCTCTCTTCTCAAGGACCTTCGTGTCTTGTGAGAGCCTCTCTTCTCAAGGACCTTCGTGTCTTGTGAGAGCCTCTCTTCTCAAGGACCTTCGTGTCTAGTGAGAGCCTCTCTTCTCAAGGACCTTCGTGTCTTTTGAGAGCCTCTCTTCTCAAGGACCTTCGTGTCTTGTGAGAGCCTCTCTTCTCAAGGACCTTCGTGTCTTGTGAGAGCCTCTCTTCTCAAGGACCTTCGTGTCTTTTGAGAGCCTCTCTTCTCAAGGACCTTCGTGTCTTGTGAGAGCCTCTCTTCTCAAGGACCTTCGTGTCTTGTGAGAGCCTCTCTTCTCAAGGACCTTCGTGTCTTGTGAGAGCCTCTCTTCTCAAGGACCTTCGTGTCTTGTGAGAGCCTCTCTTCTCAAGGACCTTCGAGTCTTGTGAGAGCCTCTCTTCTCAAGGACCTTCGTGTCTTGTGAGAGCCTCTCTTCTCAAGGACCTTCGAGTCTTGTGAGAGCCTCTCTTCTCAAGGACCTTCGTGTCCTGTGAGAGCCTCTCTTCTCAAGGACCTTCGTGTCTTGTGAGAGCCTCTCTTCTCAAGGACCTTCGTGTCTTGTGAGAGCCTCTCTTCTCAAGGACCTTCGTGTCTTGTGAGAGCCTCTCTTCTCAAGGACCTTCGTGTCTTGTGAGAGCCTCTCTTCTCAAGGACCTTCGTGTCTTGTGAGAGCCTCTCTTCTCAAGGACCGTCGTGTCTTGTGAGAGCCTCTCTTCTCAAGGACCTTCGTGTCTTGTGAGAGCCTCTCTTCTCAAGGACCTTCGTGTCTTGTGAGAGCCTCTCTTCCTTGCCTTTATTTGACAGGCCACGCCAGTCAGCCAGCCATTGCCAGAACTCGCTTCCTTAGTATCAGCACGGCTCTGCATGGAAGTATGTTTGTCTGAAGCCGTTATTTCGTCTGGACATGTAACAGAATGCATTTTTCGGGCCGGCAACAAAAAATCGGGTCAAAGCTCGTGCTGTGCTGTCAGTAATACTGCGTTCGTTTTCTACCGAGTTAATATGCCAACCACTGCAACCAGCCCTTCCCTTTCCCAAGGTGCATCAGCAGCAACTGATCTCACATTGTTGAGTTGAGTGCCTCTAGACTGGACTGCCTTCTTTCCTTTCTGCATATGCATGCAGGGATCTGAAATTTGCCACATTCACGTGCCCTCGTGACTTCACCGAATGCATGGTTGAGCAGAATCCCAAAAGTGCTTTCTGCAGCGTATGCCAATCCTTCTGCTCCACCTGTGTGACGGCTGCAGCAGCATGTGAGACACACAGTGCTATCCTTTCTCCCATGCTGTCTCTTCCCAAACACGTGCCTTGTGTGTTTCATTGCACTACACACTGAGCTGACCATCACCCCAATCCACCACTGTTGCTGATGCGTATAGAAAATTTTCTTTAGGAAGCATCAGGAGTGCTGCTGCTGCTCGACGGGATGCTCATGCTGACTGGATGCACGAGGCCAGCTGCTCTCTTCGATGCACTGCCTTCCTTACTTCCTGTGCCATTGCTTCCCCTCCCATGTTGATTCCTAGGAAACATCCTGAGCAAATTTCAAGCCGGGGAAACCCACACTTTCTTGTGTTAACTCGCTTCAGTATCGAATCAAGTCGAGTTTTTACTTGGGCTGGTTGTTTTCCATGAGGGCAGTTTGTCTTCTGGCCGAATGGACAAGTTGATCTTGATATATACAAACGTTACTCTTTTTATTAAGAATTGAGGTCCTCGTAAATATTGAGTTCATAAACCTTGTTGATTTCTTACTCAACTCAACTCGTTTGCTCATGTGTCCCTTCCTTCCCCTTCCATGTCCATGCACACCCCGCCATGCCATTGCCTCCTCCAGCGCCAGGAAGCATTATAGCGTCCCCATCACCCCCCAATGCCTCCCCAGCACCTCCCTCCTCACCTGTAACGTCCAACCCCCAGCCTGGCGGCCTGTCAACAGCAGCCATTGCGGGCATTGCTGCGGTTTCTGTGCTGCTGCTGCTGGTGCTGGTTGGTGCGCTGGTATGGTGGAGGGGCTACAAGAAAGGTGGAGCAGAAGGAGCAGCAACAGCAGTTAAGGAGAGCAAGGATGTGTTATTGAGGGATATTGATGGTAACAATCAACCTCTTCCCCTCCCTCCCTTTTCTCCTTCACCATTTCTTTGATAATTTTCTTCTTCTTCTTGCCATAAAAAGGCCTGGATGATGCATAGAGTTGGGTTTTTTGCAAGCGAGCAGACGGTGTGGAAGGAAATCGTGGATGATTTGCACTCGATTATCATTCTCAATCCTTTTGTAGTCCTTGTTCACGTTATATTTTTTAATTATTAAAAACCAGGTCAGTGCTCTACGGAACAGGGGGAGGGTGGGGGAAAGGGAGGATAGGATGGCAGTGGGCAGGGGAATGGGGATGGTGGCAGGACAGGAGGCGGTGGTAAGGTTAACAGCAGCACTTAACTCGGAAGGTTACTCGTAAGTATATGAATGCAAGAAGAGGCCAAGGTTATCAGCAGCACTTAACTCGTATGGAATCTGCCCTTTGCCCCCCTCATTTCATGGATTTCTTCCTGGACCAGCATAACACATACCGTTGAACTCCCACTGCATCCACCAATCCCTCCATGCCAAACAGGGTGCATAGTACCCTCCTCCACTGCGTCTTCGTCAGCTCCACACAAGCTTTCATTACATTCTCGCTTTTGCTCTCCGTTTTGTTGCTGTGTTTTATTGTGTTTAAAGAGCATATTCAAATAGCTCAAGCCAACAGCAAGTTTTAGACTAGTAGATCTTACAGTCAGCAAGTCTATTAGCGTACAAGAGTCATAAGGAGCCTCTTTTTCTGGGATCCACAGGTGGCATTTCTAAGTAGAGCGCCTTTTCATACCCATTGGTCACTTGCAAGTTCTCTGCAACTGTACCGCTCTTCCCACGAGCAGGTCTGGCAGGCAGCGTGGCGGCCTCGCACTGCACGGAGTACTCGCTGGAGGAAGTGCTCACAGCCACCAGCAACTGGGCGAGTGACAACCAGCTGAGGTCGGGCTCCTTTGGTGACGTGTACAAGGGCGTGTCTCCGCGCGATGGCACCACACTGTGGGCCGTCAAGCGAGCCAAGCTGCTCGACGCTGACTTCCAGCGCGAGGTGAGTACCCAGATGAACAAAATCCGTCCCCTCGAGATCCAGTGGCACTTATGGGAGCAAGGTACCTCTTGGTCGTTCCAGAAGCATGTGTGTGCCTTGTTGCGTGCAACCCATTCCGTGCAGCATACATCATAGTAAACCCATGCAGTCGTGCGGTTTAAGAGAACTTCCAATAAAATTTGTACCCATCCTTGATGGCATGTTCCCTTGGCAGGTGCGACAAATGGCCGGCAAGAACCATCCCAACATCGTGCGACTGCTTGGGTTTGCAGTTGGAGGGGACATGAGGACACGGCCAGAGCAAATCCTGATCTACGAGTTTCTCCCGAATGGTGACCTTGAGAAGTGGATCAGTACAGGTATCACTCAATGCTTCTCAAGCCATCTTCCTCTTTTCTTTCCTTGATGGCAAATTCAAGCAAGCATTGCCTCACTCATACACGCGACCTTTGCAGAAGCGCACTGGTGTCTCACTTTGAAGCAGCAGCTGGACATCCTGATTGGTGTTGCTCGTGGCTTGGCGTACCTCCACAGCTTTGGCCTTGTGCATCGCGACATCAAACCCGCCAACATTCTACTTGGAAAAAACATGCAGGCAAGCTTAGTTTGCATGTGCTCGGTAAATTATTTATTCGAAGTCATTTTTCATGTGCCAACACAGAATTGAACAAGTTATAAAAGGAAAATTACAATGCTCTTAAAAAGTCCAAGCATCATGAAAAGCAACAATGTTAGCTAGGTAACAGTGCTAACAATGCTTGTATGCTAATAAAACATGACATATCATCCACCAGGCCAAGATTGCGGACTTTGGTCTTGTGAGGGCGGAGGAGGGCAGCACAGTGGGCACGACTCGAGTGATGGGAACACCGGGCTATGTGGATCCCGTCTACTTCCGCACGTCCAAGGCGACCAGCGCCACCGACGTCTACAGGTGAGCACCTATAGACATCATGACGTAGACATACACGTCATGATGTCTACTTGAACTTGCGCACGTGACACTTTGGCTAGGTGAAATTTTCAACCAGCTGATCAGGTTTGGCGGAAGGGGAAAATTGTCAACCTAACACCACTTGTGGTGCTTAAAGTCAATCTCTGTCCCCCTGCTTGTGCAGTTTTGGTGTGCTCATGCTTGTGGTGCTCACGAAACGGAGCCGGCCACTCCATGTAGATGAAGGAGAGTGCGACCACATCCTGTCATGGGTAAGCCATGCGCGGATACCCATCCCTGGCATGCACCACTGCTCCACACGATACCACCAGTGCACCTGACAATGCTGTTGGCAATGCTGCTTATGATGGTACAAATGGCCACCTTCTCAACATGATGAATGGTTCAGCCTTGCACTGTATCATGTTCATGCCGGCAATCAAAATGTCTTCCCAAATTACCATGTCTGCCTCCAAGAGTGCCTTATTCACTGTTTTGAAGGGTCCTTTATTTGATATAGCATGCAATACATATTGTCTTAGTCCTCACATGTGCTTTCTGTTCACTGTGTAAATTTCGGCGTGCCTTTTCACCATATCAGTCTTGACACATGTTTTGATAACCCTGTCATCCCCTTGCAAGTCCTGTTTGTTGGCCTGCTGTTTTCTTTCAACCAAAGCCTTGCAGTCACTAGGCCTTGAAGTGTCTCTTTCACAAAGCCTGTGCTGTGCGATTCCCTGTCCCTCTCCCCCACCTTCTCCAAATCCATCAGGTGGAAGCGTGCATTTCCTCCAACACCCCGGCCCGCCTCAAGGAACTCACCATGGACGCCCCGGATGATGCTGTGCTGCGCCTGGCCCAGCTGGCTCTCAGCTTCACCGTGGAGCGCACGGCAGATCGGCCAAGCATGGCAGATATTGCCAACAAGCTGCTTGCTATCAGGAATGAGGTGATGGGAACAGAGGAGCTGAGTGCAGCAATCAAGGTGGACGTGCAAGCCCAAAAGTTGGATTCCGCAATCTCTAGTGAGAAAGGCATGGACGCTTGGCTTCCTGCTTGGAAGTTTTTCACAAATGTGACCAGTTGCTGGAGAAAGGTTTTAAGTGGTAGAAACTGGCAGTACGGATTACAAACCTGAATATTGGTTGTTTAAAATATCCTATGCAGGCGACGTCCTGATGTTGCTCAAGGATGGATACATCAATAACAATAGAATACTCTACCGTACTGCTTTTTTATATGAATACAATTGGGGTGGCGTTGTTAATATCAAAAAATATTTATCTACTTTCTATTTAATTGTTTGCAATGTAGACTGCTGTGTATACCGTATAATCATTTGCTGTGCGTGGTGTACCTCCTTCCTCCTTGCTATATCTTGTGGTCATCTTCTCTTAGTGCTCCTCTTTGGCCAAACTCTGTTTCTTGATACCAACTCCAAGCTCTTAGCTTCAACCCCCATCTCTTATCTAAGTTCCTGTCTTTACAAGGTATGAGAGTGAGTTCCTCATAACATGCAACTCCATAAATACTTATACAAACATACTTTGGCACACCCCTATAGGCTAACTGAGGGGCATCAAAACGATAAAATAAATTAAAAAAAAATGAAAAATGTGGTCACAAGACCAGTCAAGAGAAGGAACACACTAAGCTCAGGGTGGATCATGAAGTCACCACACACTCTGAGCACAACAAAGGGCCACAAGGCCAGTTTAAGGGGTGATATACATATATAAATATATATATGTACAGCAAGAAACATGAGGCAAGACTACTATAGCCGAGGGTCTATGTCAATAATGTTTAACTGCAGACATAACATGTGGTGGTCATCAGGCGGAAGGGCCTTGGTGAAGATGTCTGCAGTGTTGGACCCTGAGGCCACGAAGTCCAAGCGTGCCTGGCCGCGTCGCTGCAACTCTCGCACAAAAAACTACCTGACGTCGATGTGCTTCACCCTGCTCTCTAGTTGAGGCTTTTGACATAAGATGATCATGGCCTTGTTGTCAGCAAACAAGGTCGGTGCAGAGCTCGGCCGCTCACCAAGGCCTGTGAGCAAGAAAGTGAACTAGCGAAGCTCCTGCGCAGCCATGCCACCAGCGTAGTCCAGTCAACAGGACGGCGTCTCCCAGTCGCAACAAAGTGAGAGAGGATGCTGAGATGAAAGGTGAGGTCCGGACGAGTACAAGTGATCAGGTACATGAGGCAGCCCACAAGCTCTGCGTAGGGACCACTAGACTCAAAGATCTCATCTGGAAAAGGGCCTGTAAGTCTGTGGTCAACTGCAAGACGAGTGGGCTGTGTGGTAGAGATATGAAGACCCTACTGCTGAAGGACCTGCTGCACCATGTGTGATTGTGAGATTGTGATGGTGTGAGCGGTTCTGTCACGGGTGATTTGCAAGTCAAGGTAGCGATGCAGCTCACCAAGGTCAGTGCACGTGTGTCTCTTCTGCAGTTCGAACTTCACCTCAGCCAAAGCAGCCCTGTCTACTGTAGCGAAGACCAAATGGTCGACGTAGACGAGGACGAAGAAAGGTATGGGCCCAGAACGAACGTGCATCGATGGGCCGGCAGAAAGGACAAAATCCGAGAGCAGCGTGTCATGCCACGGGGCTCCTGGGCTGAGATTGTAGATTGGTCGCCTCAGGCTCCACTTGGTCCCAGATGGAAAAGCGCCAGTGAAGCCAGGAGGGCGGCGCAGCCATATTTCCTCGTATAGGTAGCCCAAGAGAAAGGCAATGGTGAAACCGAGGGAGTGCAGCTCGTAGTCTTGCTGTGCTGCAACGTGAAATAACGCCCGAAAAGTATTTATCTTGGGGGTCGGAACGATATTCTAGAAGAAGTCAACTCCCTCGCGCTGACTAAAACCTCTAGCCACGTAGCGCACGGCGGCGATCAATGAGTCCGCTTCATCTTGACGATCTACATGCCATCGACTATGTTCGCCTTAGGCGGGGGAACTACGTCAACGCAAGTGCCTATGGATCTTCAAGACACTGACACTGCCTCACGGTACATGTGAGGAGTCGGTATGT